CAGAGAGAGAGAGAGAGAGAGAGAGAGAGAGAAGCAGGCTCCCCGCTGAGCAGAGAGCCCGATGCGGGACTCGATCCCAGGACCCCGAGATCATGACCTGAGCCGAAGGCAGCAGCGTAACCCACTGAGCCACCCAGGCGCCCTCATCTCTGTAATTTCAATCTTTAATTTTATGTTTGTAATTATTTAGTTGAGGTTTTTTCAAAGCTCTCAAAGCCCTAAGCGATTGCTCGGTGTTGTTAGGACACGTGATTCTGTTATTTAGCCGACGACAGAATGACTGAATGCAAGTCAGTTGCAAAGAAATTGTTTAAGAATCCATTTATCCTTGAAGTTCTGCTTGACAAGGCACATTGGGTCAAGCCTATCTTTGAGTTAGGAATTTGTGTTCTTCTTGAGAAGATGGACCCATAATTCAGCTGTGCTGGAGTGGGCCCGTATCTCTGGGCTGGCCCCAGAATCGTCTGGGTTGGGCCTGGCCCGGCCCACTCTTCTCTTTGCCGACTCACTCCACAGAGATGACACACGGCCTGATCATCCCTGGAGGACACGCAGGAAAGGGCCCTTCATCCACACAGCCAGCTCTTTTCTGTCATCCCATAAGGAAAGTCAGCCCCTTACTGGGTGAATAAAGCTGAAAATAGAGAAAAATGTAGAGAGTTTTTTTCTTAAACCTAAATGACACAGGCCTGGTTTTTTCCCCCTTTCTTAGGTTCATTGGGCTGCTGATGTTACATTCTTGCAAGACAGACTGAAAGGCGACCATGTGACAGAAATAGGAGTAACATTTCTGAAAAAGCTAGAGGAGAAAAAATACAGACGGAAAAAATGAAGCATTGTGTGGAAAATGCCTCAGGATGGCCAGCTAAGGAGTTAATATTATCTAAACATACAGAGCCATAGAAATTCCCAGTCATTTAATAATAGCATGGGTTGTGAAAGGCTTATATATCAGCCAGAAATTTGAAGTGCAGGGCACTAGGGTTTAAAGCTGTTTTTTTTTTCTTTGCTGATAAAGTATACATTTTCAATCTTATATCCATAAAATTTCATATACAAATAACTCCTTATAAGATAGATACATGAATTCACACATCATATAGTCCATCCTCACAGAGTCCCCTGATTTCTTTTACTTATGGTAATAGGGAAAAAAGCATACCAACTACACAGTTGTATTTATACAATGTATTTATCTATTCTCATTGTATCTATGTATGTATTTATCTATTCTCATTGGAAAAAATAGATGAAATGATACAACATAGAGATCACTATAGACGATTTCTAGATACTGAATATTGCATTCTCTATAGAAACAGTGCCATTTATAACACTTTCCATATTTTTTAATAACTATGGATATGATTTCTCTCATATATTGGCTTGGTTTATCACTTCAGCCTCCTGAAACTACTCTCTCTTGATAATTTGTAATTTACCAAGGCAAGGCTGTTTATTTGCATGCTAATTCTGAAATATTTTTAAATAGTAATTAGTTTTTTGTTTTTGTTTTTTTAAAGATCTTATTTATTTGACAGACAGACATCACAAGTAGGCAGAGAGGCAGCCGGGGTGGGGGGAGGGGAAACAGGCTCCTGCTGAGCAGAGAGCCCAATGCGGGACTCGATCCCAGGACCCTGAGATCATGACCTGAGCTGAAGGCAGAGGCTCAACCCACTGAGCCACCCAGGAGCCCCATAAATAGCATTTAGTTTTAATTCATGTAATTTTTAGATAGTATCAACCAAATGTCTTCCTATTCTCATGAAACATTGCCAATGGTCAGGCTAAGGAAACCCCCAAAATGAGAGGTAAATAATGTTTTTTGAAAATACTTTCTTACCCCAAAGCTTATTCAGTTAGAATTTTTGCTGTCATTTTTATTCTCCAAAAAAAACCTTACAAAACAAGCTTTGTCTGTGACCAGAACATACTTAAATTTCGAAATGTACTGGATTAAATAAACGATAATCTTTACCAAATCATCAGCACACACAGGTGACCTCTATGCGGTCCAGAATCTACTGTGCTCTGCAGAGAACTGAAATTCCAAGTTACAAGTAGTGTGGACCCTTCAGTTAGAACTGGTGTAAGTGATGTGATCGTGGTAGACCTCAGCTAGGACTCAGGACCCTGAAGACACAGTCCCAGGTCTGTTTCTAGTGGATTTAGCTGATCCTAACTAATGGCCTCTCTCATGTATAAAAAATGGCATAATTGAATATGACAAGTATCTTAAATTATATAAATGAGTTTAAATTGCACCAAAAACGACTGAAATTCTGCATTTTTGGATTTTGAAGACTCTGAGGAAATGGTTTGTTTTCTACCCATGCGGCTGTCTGTTCAAGGGACACGAAGGTCAGTTCTAAGGACTGACTAGGGTCACTGAGGCAGCTGTGGCAACCATGGAAGGAACTTCAAGCCAGTTCCACAGAAGACCAGGAGTCAAATCAAGAAGATGAATATTACCTGACATCAGAAGGGATATCACAATGCCATGTATTTTAAACTGATGCCTCCAGAAGAATGTTTGCCACCATCCATCCCAAAGCTTCTTTTTGGGATGTTTCCATCTTCTGTTCTGTTTCCTCTTTCCCTACATTCACCCCTCCAGGAACCCCAAATACTCATGTCTAAGGGCCTCCCTCTTAAATCAGTACCCATCTAGCCCTCTTGAAAATGCTCTGGAGTATTCTGTTACCTGGCCACACCTTGCTCTCCTTTCTGTTCCAACCCAGCCATCCAACTGCCTTGGCCCTCTGTCTTCATTGCCTGCCCACCTAAAGATGACTAAATCTGATATTCTCAATGATGTGGAATGTTAGAACCGGTGATGGCTTCAGGATAAGTCTCGTTCTCCATCTTTTTTTTCCTCCTCACCTTAGAGAGGGAGACAAATCTTTGGATTGAACTTGTGGTATGGGCAAGTGACCTACTTAACCAAGAGAGAAAACTGAGTGGTAGACCCCCATTATCCACAAGGGGTATGTTCCGAGACCCCCAGTGGACACCTGAAGCCACAGATAGTACTAAACCCTATATGTACTATGTTTTTCCTATATGTGATAAAGTTTAATTTTTAAATTAGGCACAGTAAGAGATTTATAACAATAACAATAAAACAAAACTATTACAACAATATAACATAAAAAAGTTATAGAAATGTGGGCATTTCTTTATCAAAATATCTTACTGTACTATGTTCACCTTTCTGTGATGATGGGAGATGAAAAAATGCCTATGTGATGAGATGAAGTGAGGTCACTGATGTAGGCATCGTGATGGAGAGTTCGGTTACTGTGGATCTTCTGACAAGAAGTCAGAGGGAGGATAATCAGCTTTTGGATTGTGGTTGATTGTGGAAAGCAAAACTGCAGGTAAACAAAGACTACTGTATTCAGTAAGTGCTCTATCCTGAAGAAGGGGAGAATCTAAAAAGTGTTGTTTATTAGAAGTAGAACCACATATATGAATTTTCTAATAGGCCCATTCAAAAAGTCAAAAGGAGGGGCACCTGGTGGCTCAGTCAGTTGAGTGTCTGACTCTTGATTTCAGCTCAGGTCATGAACCTGGGGTCGCGGGATCGAGCCCTGCTTCAGGCTCTGTACTCAGTGCGGAGCCTTCTGAAGATTCTCTTTCTCTCCCTCTGCCTCTCCCCCTCCACCTCAAATAAATAAATAAAAACTTTAAAAAGTGAAAAGGAGCAGGGAGCATTAATTTTAATAATATACTTTATTTAGACTAATTATCCAAAATTTTTAAAAATAGACTATCCAAAATATTACTATTTCAACATTTGGTAAATATAAAAATTATTGAGACCATTTACATCACATCCTCTTTCTAAATGTCTTTAAACTATGTAGTATTTTATACTTTTAGCACATCTCAATCTGATGCTAAATTTTCAAAGCCTCCATTACAATGTAGTGCTACCAAAACAATAAAACTGTGCTTAGCATTGTTTAATAGTTTCAATTTTAAAATTTAAATGCACTAAAATTAAATTAAAAATTCATTTCCTCAGTCACACTAGTCACACTTCAAGTGTTCTATAGTCCTGTGTGGCTAGCAGCTACTCTAATGTACAGCACAGGTCTGTAATTCCCAGCCAAAGATCTATTGGGTCTCCTTGACCTTGGACACAAAGAATTAATGGGGAGTATCTGGGTTAACAGGGAGGAAAGAGACAGAAAGGAAAAGGTAAGAAAGACCATCAGAGATCAATGAAACGCTGAGAGGTGACCCCTGAAAACAGAAACATTTCTGTGTAAAGGTTTCATACTAAAGAAAGGCTGCACACCATCCTCTGGATTCCAAGTGTATTTTCACCCGCTTCGTGTGAAGCGGAGCCTTTCTGATAAAGGCCTTGTGGAAGTTGCACAACATAACTACAGAGTTATATGATATTTTTATTTCATAAGTCTTCACTCTGAACCCCAAATCTTGATCAATGCAAGATTTTTATCATCTCAGCAAAGCCAAAAGGGAAGAAAATTTGGGGCAGAGAGAGAGTTTATTGCTCTTCAAACGACATCACCAGGTGGCTGCCTGCACTGTTCACTGGCGAGACCTGCTGTGGTGGCCTGTTCACTACTCAGCGCTGCCAGGAATCAGAACTCCTTCCCTCAGCAGCCCGCACTCGTTTATTGTCTCCTCAAATCTCTTCAGTTCATCCGTTAGTTATTAGAAGCCTGGATCTCTTTAGCAGTTGGAATAGACTATTATGAATAAGTGGAAAGTCCCCTAATCTCTCTGTTTATGAAGGACCAATGTAGAAATATGGAAAACCAGATGCGTGAAGTGAGAGAATGACATTAAAACTCTTAGAACCCAAGAGACCATTTTAATCAAGTTGTGCTAAATGTTAATGAAAACAATAAACGTTCAAAGAGATAGTATTAGTCATTGTTAAGGGTGTGTCAGTTGGGCCACTAGATTCTGAGTGGTTGTTACGTTTCACAGCCTCCTCCGTCAGCTATGGAGGCTAATTCCTCCTTCCTTGGTAACACTGAAGTCCATGACAGGTACTGACCCAACCCTAGAAACTTGGTAGGTCAAACACTCGCTTCTTTAAAAAGAGAGCCAAGTGGGGCACTGGGTGGCTGTCGGTGGGGCATCTGCCTTGGGCTCAGATCATGATCTCAGGGTCCTGGGATTGTGTCCTGTGAGCAGAAAACCTGCCTCTCCCTCTCCTTCTGCCTCTCCCACCACTCGTTCTCTCTCACTCACTCTCTCAAATAAATAAATAAAATCTTAAAAAAAAAAAAAAAAGGAGAGCAAAGTTTGCTTATGCTGCTTAGTTGCCTATTAAAAGAAAGAAAAAAAAATCTGCCCAGTTGCTGTAGTTCTTCATTCTGGTGAACCTTCCAGAACTTAAGCTGGACGTTCACAGTGGTTGACCAGCAGTGGCTAGGGCAAATAAGCAGAAAGAAGGAAAGGGAATGTGGCAGTATAATACACAGTCTATAATCTGAGGAGACACCCAGTTCTCATTCAACCAGCAATAGTCACTCTACAACTGAGAATAAGGCAAAGCCACAGCAATCATTAGCAAAACTTTCTTTTTCAAGTGTTTCACTATGAAAGGAGGAGCTAAACAAAACACATCAAAAGTTGGAAATCCTTCACTAAAAACAGATAAGAAATAAATGCCCTAGGATAATTTCTTGTCCCCCCTCAAACTCAAACTCTGTCTTTCCCAATTAAACCTTTCTTTGTTTTTCTTTTCTTTTGTCTTCCATTTTTTTCCTTCTAGGATCTCTGTTGCCACTATCTCTGCTTCTTTTCCTTTTTTCCCCAAAGATTCTTCTTGCAACTCCTTTA